GAAACAGGTTGTTCTATTTTTTCTGTAAAGAAACATTTTGTGTTATAGAATACTAGGAAAAAAGTAGGTTCCTCATGGGACAAGGATTTTTTTTTTCTCTACTTTAAAAAAGGATTAAAACCACAAACATAAAGGTTACATAAGCGACACTGCATTTGTTAGATTATTTTTTAACATGCAATTAAAGTAAGAATGATTTTGTGATTCTCTTACCGGCAGGCATGGCATTCTGTAATATTTAATTTTTGCCATAAAATATTTTTATTATTTCTGTGTTGTAACCTAGTGAGATTTATTCTGTGTACTGTATTATTTTCTATAACTTTGTCATTAAAAAAATGGTAGTATAACTATACTGCCTCTTGAAGAAAAAAGGAAAAAAAGAAAGAAACCTATTTTTTGAAACTCTGTTGAGTTTTGAAAGCACATCTTGAAATCCTTATGAGTACCAAAACAATAGCATCCACAGCCATTTATTTTGATACACCATAAAATCCTTGACTTCTCATGATAGAAGAACACTAAACATTCCAAAGATATTTCAAAATCTCTCCTTTGGAACATAGTACAACTAAAAAAATGAGTAATAAGCATTCCTATTTCTACACTGTCTGTGTGCTTTCTTCCCCTACCCCTGTTACATCACCATCTTAACTTGGCAAGACTCTTTGTTTACCATTCATGGACATCGTTTTCCTTTCCAATTATTTATCATTTATTTATGAAAGATACAACAGTATGTACAAGAATGTTTTCTTTATTTTAACTTCTATGCCCTTGCTATATGCAAAAAAATTATGTGATTATTTGCTTTGAAAATCAATTCACCAGAAATGCACTAAAGGTCTACCATGTGCCAGAAACTTGCTAGAAGGCTGACAGGGTTTGGCAGTGAGTATGGATATATGGGGGGGGGGGTTATATAAATGCATGAGACATATTTGCGCTCAGCCAGGCGTCTGCTTGAGATTCTCTGTCTTCCCTGCCCCTCCCCCCCAAATAAATCTTGAAAAGAAAAATATCTTTTAATTTGAGAACTGTATGTTTTTTTAAGCTACTCTCAAGCTAAATGGCATAGGTTACGTGTCTTAAAACTCCACTAAAATGTTCTTTTTTTGTCTCATTTTGTAACTGTTGCCATCAAAGCAACATGGATAAGAGGGAAAAGATCTATAGACAGACAATGATAACAAATAAAAAATATCACTCATTAAAACAAAACAAAAACAAGCACAGAATCTCAGTTAGATTTGGCTAAATAAGGTGGCAAAGATACTGATGGGTTCACATGGAAGGACACTGGCAGATTGTGAACTCTGTGTTGAAAGGATAAGTATCGGGCATACCAGTAAGGTGCTTCATGCCTTACTGCCTGTCCTGTAAACTTTATAACAAATTTGTGTGGTAAAGATCGGTGGCCCCATCTTAGAGTGAGTGAGAACATTCGAAGCTGTTATCTGCCCAAGACCACACTGTCAGCCAGTGGCCAGGTCAGAGACCAAAGTACAGAGACCTTCCCCTGTACTAGGGCTTCCCCTACCCCTCCATTCCTCCTACGGACAATATCCTGAAATTAAAGACCCATGTATGCATTGAACAAAAATGTACAGCTCTATCTGCTTATAGATTTAGAAAAGGAGGAAGTATACTTCTAACCAAACCAATAATTTTACGTTATTTTTCAAGACCATTAAATGCAATAACTTACTTTTTCACTGTACTGTAAAAAATAGAAGTCCTCATTCCTTTTGTACTAGTACAGAATTTCTTGGAACTTTTAGAATATGCATTCTTAGAATATAGTATTTCTTTAAACATTTTATTTGGTGCCCATTAAAATAATTTCATTCTGAAGAATTTTTAATAGAAATGTGGAGTAGATATTATGGATATATTTGGATTGATAGGTAAATATCAGATATCTCTTATTCCATTTACTTCACTGTGAGCACATTTGTTAAAATTAAATTATATCTTATGTATGATTTTTATTGTTTTATGATTGTTTTGAATCCCTAGTATCTAATTTATTTCAGCAGACATAATATACATGTCTTTCTTTAGAGTTTAATGAGATCTTTCCAAATGCAACAGAGCTTTCAGGAACATGCAGCTCTGTGTTTATATGCCAGACAATGCTGATCTTCCTTGTTGCCCACATCACTGAGATATACTAGGCACCCCTAAAAGGGATTTTAGAATATTACATACCCCTTGAAATACCAAGAACAGCAATGCTTTGTTTGACTGAGCTGGCCTGAAGATTTGTACTGCATAGTAACAACGTTTGTCATTCTAAGGATCATTAGCACATGCTGTCCTGCCCACCTGAACACTTAAGACTTGGGAGGAGTAAATAACATTCCTTTGCCCGATGTTAAGCAACCCCCTTCCAACACACACACACACACACACGCACACACACACACACGTTATCTGACTTTATTTCCAGGCTTTTGTTATTTTAAACCTCTTTCCTTGATGTCAACTTCTTTAATCAACTGATTTGTTTTATATGATATAGGTTTTTGGAATGAGGAAGATGAGGTTTCTGAATCCCATGCTTAGACAACCATTTAGTTACTCTCTTACCTAAACAAAGCCTTAAGTCTCTCATCTGTGTAATGGGCATCAAAACGCTTAGTATGATTATTTTGTTTTCAAGTTTAAGTGAGAAATAGATGTTTAAAAATTCCTGACATCCTTTCTTAAATATTAATTTTCCAGTCCTTACCGTTTTCATAGGTATGTTGTAAGGATCCAATTAACTAACATGAGGTATAGTGACAGGTGAAGAGCATAGAATTTGAGTCAGAACTGGGTTCAAATCTTGGCTCTGCCACTTATCAGCTGTGTGACCCTGGGGTGTTATTTAATTTATTAAAATAGTTTCTTAATTTGTAAAATGGGAATAATAATTCCTATTTCATACAGTTGTTGTGCATATAACATGAAATGTATATAAATTGCTCTGTTTGGGGCCTGATGTCTACCACACATCGCTAAGGTCTTATTAAAATACTCTAGCCCAATTATCTGTGGTCTGACTTCCATTCAGCTTCTCCGAAGATGTCTTCTCAACTAGATTTTAAGTATTTGAGATTCAGGGACCAGATCTGACTCCTTATCGAACTTTGTAGAATCACCTAGAATAGTGCCAAGTGCATTATGCCAAAACTTGTTCAATTTCAGGCCAGTAGAATAAATGCCTGAGATTTTTGGCCTACCCACCTGTCAGTCTTGGGATGGTCAGTGGGAGCAACAGGTTTGGGTAAACCTTTACTTATAATGGAAGCTGAATCAAATTCATAGGTTTTCCAGTGTAATACCACAGTGATTGTATTAAATGACTAGAATTCTATGAAGGGTTCTGTACTTGGCTCACATTTCTATAATAACCATTAATCTATTCTGTACCTAGGCCATATCTACTGCATTGCTTTAAAAAATGGGTGTGTGGGCTGCCATTGATGTTATATAATACAGCCTGCTACTTAGTACATACAGTATACTATAACATATACTGTGTGCTCTCTAATGTCTCTCTAATGAGCACATAGTAATGTTATACTATATAATCTCATTATGATTAGTTATAAGGAAGAAAGTAATATAAAAAGAAGAGAGAGGGGCACCTGGGTGGCTCAGTTGGTTAAGCATCTGCTTTTGGCTTGGGTCATGATCCCGGGGCTCTGGGGTCGAGCCCCTCGTTGGGCTCCCTGCTCAGCGGGGAGTCTGCTTCTCCCTCGTCATCCGCCCTTCCATGCCGCTTGTGTGCTCTCTCTTGCTCTCAAATAACTAAATAAAATATTTTTAAAAAGGAGAGAAAAGGAATGAATATAACCAAAAGGAGAATGATCAGGTTGAGTAGATGGTAAATTCCAGCAAAGACTGCCTTGGCCACTGCTTTTCTAATTTTCATATATTGGGCCTCTTTAGTCTTATTATTCATGTTATAAGTTTTGTTGTTGCAAAATACCATATTTGTAAAATCATTTATAAAATCAGCTGTAATGTACTTAAAATATACATTTTTATAACACACTAATGTTAATTATTTGGTAACTTGAAGTCATTTAAAAATACATTCTTGGCTAACCAGGAAAAATAATTTTGGGTGCCAAAATTTTAATATCTTTAAAAGAAAAATAAAACACACTGTCAAATTTCCAATGCTTTTCAAAATCTTAATTTTTTCTTCAAGATTTGCTTATGCAGTGTGGATCTTTTTTGATGTTCTACACAATCTGTCACTTGATGCACTATCCCAATGAGGTAGATCTTACTTAACTTTTTATTAATAACAACACAAAACACAGAAAGTTGAATGGTGATCTTAGAAGGTCACAAAATATGAAACAATCAGAATGGTATTTTAGGGTTGTAGGCTTTCCTGCCTGATTAATTATCTTAGAGTCTTTTATGCAGTCTTGGTTATGGAGAAATTGAAAAGTAAACATGTGTAGGGTCTAATTGCTGTATATTAATTATTTTCAGACCAAAGGGGTTGCAAGCTTCCAGTTCCTGTTACTGTGTTTGTTTAAAATATTTCTGTAAATCAGCAAGGCCTGTTTTATCCAGTCTTAGCCAAATCAAATATGATCCCTATACTTTCCCATTTGTGTTTGAAGATATAGCAGAAGTACTCATTATTATAGTATTTATTGAAGTGAAAACTGGTATATGATTGTATGCATGCCTAACAGAGTTGAAATAAAGGCTGTGAAATTAAAGAATAATTGGAAAGATTGATGTGTTCTTCCCTACCATGTATTTGTAGCATTTGTTTAAGGGCTAACGCTCTTGGTTTAGTCCCATAGTAAAGAATTCATTAGAAGTTTTAGGATTTCTCAATTGCTCCTAAGTAAGATATATGAAAGGCACTTTTCAGATAAATGCTACGGAAAGTTAATAAGAAAAAGAGGCTGTTTTCTTACACCGTGTCCTCTGATTTCAATTTTGTTTTCATCTTCCTTTTTTCCCCCTTAATTTAATTTCAGAGGGCTGCTGAAGTATCAAGCTAATTTAGATACCCACCCTCCTGGCTGCATCAATCCTAATGGAACCCGCTACCAGCATGTTCACTTACCAGACCATGGCTTGGAACATTTTCATGAATCTTTCCCTGGAGGACCTTCAAAACCAGATGAACTTACCCAAAACAGATCCGTGAACATATGTATGGAAGAGCCCAGGTTTCAAGCTAATTTTCCACAGGTCAGATTAATTTTATATCTTTGATGGTCTCCTCAAGTCCATATTTCCATAATTATTGATCAGCATTGCATTTAAACATGTTTTTGGAGGTTTATAAAGCAATTGTAGAACATTTCAGAATGTTTCAGCAGCAAGATAGTACCTATTTTTCCATTAGAGGCAGCTGCCAGGTCAAGGAGAAAGACCTATGATATTACAGAATATGGAAAATTCTGCTCAACTGGCCATGTAATCTTTGCATACTGTGGCACTGGTACTTGCCTAAAGAGAAGTGACAAAGACATTTTCCCTATCCACTGAGAAAAGTAGGTTGAATAATAAAAGCAATAATGAAAGAACTAATACTAATTGTAATTATTATTATTGTATAGCATAATATTGTGGTATGATATTATGAATGATATAAATGATAAATTGTAAAATCAATTTATTGAATGCTTGGTATCATCTGCTAGGTACTGTGCTAAAATGTACTGCATGCATAATTTCTTTTAATATTTACAATAGCCCTTTGAAGCAATTACTATCATCCTTGATTTTCTGATGAAGAAATTGTGACTTCAATACATAAAAGACCTTGAGCAAACTCTACAACCAAATACAGGCAGAAGTAGAGTCCAAAACCAGGTCTTTGACTAAAATACTTGCTCTTGGAAAAGTTCTTACCCAAATACACAGCGAGTGGTTCCATAAGAGCCCTAATCTTCCCATGTGAGTATGGGAGCTGTCCATGTGGGAATTAACACTCTTTGCCTATGGGACAGTGATGCCAAATGTCTCTTTTCAGAAGAGAAGAAAGAAGAGTGAAAAAGTAGAGTGAATTTGTAGATGACTTTGGAATGAGTATGTTAGTCTTGTGTTTATTTTTAATAATAATCCTCTAGGTTTCTCATAGACTTTGCAATTTGCAGAGTTTTCTTGGCTTCACACAATGCTAGCTGTTAGGCAGGGAAGGTACTGTGAGTCCCATTTTACTTATGTGGAACTTGATGCTCAAAGGGAAGTGACTGTCTCAAAGTTGCAAGACTGCTGCATTGCAGGGCTCGCCTACTGCTCACACAGCATGCAACTAAATATCAGGAAGAGGCATGATCTGTCTGCATGGAAGGAAAAAGATCTGAAATAGCTATGTAAATAAGGTTTAAAAAAGTAACCATTAAAATAAGTTTGGGTCAGTGGCCTCCCAGTGATGGGGGAAATATGGCGTGCAGTTCTAGGAGAAGGATTGGCCACACAGACAGGATAGGCTTCTGTACTTCTAAGCGTGTGCAGTGGGTTATCCTGGGGTTGGGACTATCTATCCAGCACACATGCAAAATCATTACACTTTCCAAATTCTATATAATACCTTCTGTTCATATTATTTTTATTATGTAAAAGTAAGTTGTAAGCAACATGCTTAGTATACTCTATATTTTAAAATACGTTCATATACATTTTATATTGTATATACATTATGTATGTGTACATTATGCATATATTATATGCATTAAAAACACCCAGAGTTGAGTAAAAGGCATAGCATAAGAAAAACAATGATATTGTAATACTGATGGAATGGGACAGATGGTAGCCATACTTATAGTGAACATAGGATAATGTGTAAACTTGTCAAATCACTAAGTTGTACACCTGAAACTAATATAATATTGTGTGTCAACTACACTCAAGTAAAAAAATAAATAAATAAATAAGCGTTAAAAAACCCCTTACCTGACATTTTGAAGAATTCCAGTTACTCCTGAAAATTAAAACATTTTAATACCTTAAAATAAAAAAAAAAAGTATTCATACATATATCCAGGATTTTTTTTTTTTTAACAAACATTGGACTGGTGCATTTTTTTCTAAAGTTGTCTTCAGATTTATTTGAGCATTTAACTTCCTTTCTTCTCTTTTTAGATGAAGATATTGCATATACATACATTATGTATTTATTCTGTGTGCACAGAAGGAAATATGAAACAAAGTATGCATACCTGTTAATGTGGCACATTACTTGTTTTATATTTAGTCTTGTTTGAATAAGTCACAGTGAGCACCTTATTTTTTACAGATTACAATACCATTACTGTAATGTATGAAATAAACAATTGAGCAAGATATAAAGATTTCTTCAACACAAGTATTTCTTAAAGTATATTTTAAAAATTCTCCATTAGACTTGGCTTTGGATTTCTGGACCTTTGTGCCTGTATTGTGCTGAAAGACTTTACAGGTGTATCCGGAGCAATAAACCAGTTACCATCATCTCAGTCATAAGCCATCCCTCAGATGTCATGGAAATCCGAATGATCAAAGAAAATTTTAAAGCAAGACCTGGCCAGGTGAGTCAGTGTTCAGCAACTTTTATTTATGTATGTATTTATTTATTTTAATTTTTTAAGGGAGGGGAGGGGCAGAGGGGAAGAGAGACTTAAGCAGGCTCCATGCACAGCACAGAGCTGGACACAGAGCTTGATCTCGCAAGCCTGAGATCATGACCTGAGCTGAAATCAAGAGTCAGATGCTTCACTGACTGAGCCACCTAGGCGCCCCAAATTTCCTTTATCTTTATATAATTTTTAAAAATTAGTATTCGTGCCATCATTAGAATACTTACACTTCTTTCTTGGTCATTTAAAAATTATGTTTGTTGTTTTTTAGTATATTATTCTACATTGTCCCAGTGTGTCTGCGTTAGAAAATCATCCATTTACCCTTACAATGGTAAGAAACTTGTTTTTGATTTTTAAAATTTTTTAGAGTGACATGCATCTTTTTCTTTTGTGTGTGTGTATTCTACCTCATTCTAAAAATCATTCAAGGCGATCACAATGCCCTAAATGTTAAAGAAAGCCATTTTTTTATACAAAGAAATATTATCTGTTCAGAAACTTTGTAACTCTTTATTATTTTTGGACACTTTACAATTCAGGAAGCAATATATTTGAAATGTATTAAAGATTGATGATTCAAAATACAGAAAATTTCCTGGATATTTACATTTTTCCTTTTATGAAATATGTACCAAAATATAGTATGTATGGTTTTTTTAGAGAGATTGAATTTAATGACAAAAAGGGTACTCTGAGTCGAGGTGGAAGCATAAGAAAATCCAGGCAGTGTTTAGAAAGGAAAAAGTCCATTGTAATTGATGCCCAGACTGTGTGTGAGGGAGGGAAAGGAAAATAAAGTTGAAAAAATAAAATGGAATAAATATTAGGTGGGGGAAAGTAATGGTGTCACCAAATATTTTTAGCCAATCAGACATTGTTTAACATTCTTTTTTGCATTTTAAGTATAGCATGAGCATATTATCAAAAAGTAAACAATTCACTTTTCCTCATTTCCCCCACTTTTCAATCCTCTTTCTTCTCTAGTATTTGGCATATATTCTTCCAGACATTTTCCTCTATACTTAGGCATATATAGATGTTTGACATTCGTTTGCTGGATCATTTGTTTTATAATTTGCTCTTTTTACTCAACAATATGTCATTGACAACTTTCCATGTTACTCTATTTGCATATGCCTCATTCTTTTTTAATGACTGCCTAATATTTCACAGTAGGATAGTACTGTAATTTATTTAATATTTCCCATTGATGACGGAGACTTGGGTTTTTTTTTTTCCAATTTCTAGCAAAGGTAACTAAGAACAGGACCCACATGTTTAAATATATGCTTAAGATATGCAAATAAAATTGAACAGATGCGGGGGCAGAAAAATCACTGGGTGCTTAAGTGCTGAGATGTAGGGGTGGGGCTATCCTGGGAATGGCAACAACTTTTTTTTTTTTTTCAAGATTTATTTATTTATTTGAGAGAGGCCAGGGAGGGGCAGACTCTGCAATGAGCATGGAGCCCAGCGCAGGGCTCGAGCTCACAACCCTGAGATCACAACCGGAGTTGAACCTAAGAGTTGGATGCTTAACTGACGGCACCATCCAGCTGCCCCAAGAATAGCAACCATTTTCAGATTTGATGTGTTAGGTTGAAAACTTGGAACCCTTGGCCACGTTACTTCATCTTTCCGTGCATTTGTTTCCTCAGAGTAATACTGTGATAAAAACAGTATCTACTCCTAGGTATGTTGTGTGTTTAAGTGAACTCCCACAAGTAAAGCATATAGAACAAAGCCTGGAACATGGAAGGTGCGAGGTACATGTAAATATATGCTAGCAATTATTACGATTTTTATTTTCATTGTGAGTTTGCCCCTTGAGAACATGTACTTGTGAAGACAGGTCAAAAAAATCTATATTTAAGGGATAAAAGAAACAAAAAGGAAGTGTCAGGGAGTTAGAGAAAAAACAGACATGATTTGTTCAACAGCATTTCTTTAAAGGAAAAATATATTTTTGCTTCAGTTCCTTCAAATTTTGCATTCTGTTTGTAGGTAGCAGACTTATTTATTAATGATTAAAGAAAGGTAGTTTGGCATCTAGTGAAATGGTTGACAACATTCCATTTTATCAACGAAGATGGCAACACTGGCCTCCTTGGGGAAGAAATTAATTTACTGTTGTTTCTTCGACCTGATAATAGAGGAGTACAGTCCAGACACCCTTTCATCTGGTGCCATGTGGGTGGCTGGCTAGAGTGAGAGGGGAAATGTGTTGTTAGGAGGAATAGTGAAAACCTAGTTGCCTTCATGGGATTGAAAGCCAGGACCTCAGAGTCCAGCACCCAGCCATCACCAGAGCCAAGTAGGCATGTCATGCCCTTCACTGCTCTAGGGTATGCATGCCCTACAACATGGTTTAATATTGTCCTCGTTCCAGGAGACCTTAGGATCCTTGGCGAGTAAATGTGACAAACAAACCTTCCTGGATGATGCTTCAGTTGAATCATGAAGGCATTCTCACATGATTGCATCCACTATAGTCAGAAGCACCGTGTTTAGTTCTGGTAGTTTAAGACACATTTCCATTTCTCTGATTGCATGTATCCCATAAATATGAAGTTGGTAACATTAAAAAGAAGGGAATAGGGAGAAAGTGTGCACGTACGTTTGTCTTTATTTAAGTAGTTTAAAGAGTTTTGTCTACTCTTGGGGTCATACCAAATTTACTTCTGAAGTTAATCTTTCTTTGTGTGCAACTTTGTTTTTTTTTTCCACCTTTAGTGAGGTGTAATTGAAAAATGAAAAAGTTGTATATATTTAAGGTGTGTGACTTGAGACTTTATTTTGAAAATAGTTTCTTCACCATAGCATTAAATAGAGAATATGGGATAAGAAAAGAAGGTGGTTGCTGAATGATAAATATAGAGGAGAGGGTTTTTTTTTTTTTTTACAAAAATATTTCCCAACATACACAAAAGTAGAGAGAATGGTATAATGGACCGCCATGTTCTCATCACCCAGCTTCAGTAAAAACAAAGAATATAGTTAATTTTTGGTATACATTGTATCACTGAAAATGTTATGCTCCTCAAAACAGAAAATCCAAGAATTTTTCTCTTATGGTACATGCCAAGAAGAGGCTTTTAGATCTACTCTCTTTCAGTTGTCTTAGGATCCTTTCACAGGGCAAAGGAGAAATTCAGAAAAGAGCTGTGTGTGGGACATACGGGCTCCTGGTGGCCTGACCTGATTCCCAAGCAAGTGATTGGGGCAAGTGCTGTGATAGGCCTGTGGCTAGCTGCAGGCACAATTGGGAGGGAGAAAGAAGTGGGGGAAGGGGACAGACCAGATGGAAGAGTAACCAGAAGTAGGAGCCAGAGTTAGGAAAAGGAGGACAATTATATGTAATGTAATATTCACACAAAGAACATGAACTTGAGAATTCAGCCCCACTCTGTCACTCATGGGTTCTGTGCCTGGGAGGGTATCTCTGGTGGTGATCAGTATTTGGTAACTACACTATTGTTATTTTTAATAATCCTAGAATGTTTCCTTTTAATTTGGATTTTTGCCTTCACTTCTGCAATTATTTTATTTTATTTTTTTTTGAGAAGCAGGGATAGCACATCAATGTGGTTTTTCAACCTGAAAATGAAAAATTTGGGCGATATCACAGTAGTCTCAGCTTTTGAAAATCTGTCATGTAGGTGAAGGATTAGATATTTTTCCCTTGGGATCCCAAGGTGTAGAAATAAGAATAACAGTAAAAAGTTTTAGAGAAATATATTTTGATTCAATATGATAAAGACATTTCTAACAATGAGACCAGTCCAGAAACTTAGAAAGCCATCTCCCTGGAATGCTTAGAAGGAGATTTCTGCTAGATCAGGACTTTCCTGCTTGGGCATTATTGACATTTTGGGTCAGATAATTCTTTGCTGTGGCATGTTGTCCTGTGCATTATAAGATGTTTATCAACACTGGTAACCACTACCCACTAGCTGCCAACAGTACCCCTGACTTGTGACAATGAGAAATGTCTCCAGACATTGCCAAATAAACCTTGAAGGGCAGAATTGCCAGCAGTTAACAACCATTATGCTAGATCAGTAGTTGCCCAACACAGCTTACAGTGCCCTTAGGATAGTGCTTATACAGTCTTCACGATGCTCTTTATGAGAAGGGAGAATTTAGGAGGCACGAGCAAAGGTGGAGGGTTACAATGCCTAACTTGTGTTCTGGGGACCCTGATCTCATGTCAGTGGGAACACCTCTCTTTCAACTAGCCTGCATATGAGGGTTCTGCTTAAGTGCTCATGGATAGGGCGCCTGGGTGGCTCAGTTGGTTAAGCGACTGCCTTCGGCTCAGGTCATGATCCTGGAGTCCCGGGATCGAGTCCTGCATCAGGCTCCCTGCTCGGCAGGGAGTCTGCTTCTCCCTCTGACCCTCTTCCCTCTGGTGCTATCTCTCATTCT